AATAAGGTTACTTTATGGGCCATTCCCATCTGTACCGGGTCGGCCCGGGCCGGGTAACGTAGGTTGTTTACATATCTGGATGGCCTGGTATTTTTCCGGGCCAACCAAGGCTCATTCTCAGCCCTCTTCTCGAGGGGGTCTGCTTCAGGCCGACCAGGGCCAACACACCCACTGCTGACAGCAAATTCACACCTTCCATTAGAGCAAGCCTCTGATTGGTGGGTAGAATCAGCCCACATGGGCTTAAGGCAAGGATGTGTGGAATCAACCAGGCCAGGCTGGGACCGACTGGGGCTACCCGGCCCGGACCGACCCGGTACAGATGGGAATGGCCCATTACTCTCTTAATCTTGTTTTTATTCTTCTACTTTCCAAAGGTTTTCTGGTAAAATGGTAAATAGCCTGTATTTATTTAGCACCTTCAAGGGTTCCACACCCATGCTAAGTGCTTTACAACTAACGCATCATTCACACACATTCACACGCTGGTGGTGATGAACTTTGTTGTGGCTACAGCTGCCCTGGGTCACACTCAGAGATGCAAGGCCGTCGCAAACAGGCACCACCAGTCCCTCTGAACGCAGCAGGTAAAGCGGGTGAAGGGTCTTGCCCAAGGACACGACGACTGCAACAGATGGGATGCGAACCTGCAACTCTTTGGTTTCAGGGTGGGCACTTAACTCCCCTGCCACCATTGTTTTAAGGTTTCACAAACTGCTGTTAGTTTTTTTTTGTAAAGGGGACATATTATATATATAAAAAGAAATTCACCTATTGCATATGTGAGTCACTACTGCCTCTATAAACACTTTGCACATGAAGAACAACTGTCCATCTGTTTTAGGAAATTCAAGCCTAAAATAAACTGTTTCAAAAAGTACCCGTTTGTGATGTCACAAATGGGGAAACCAACTCTAACTTGTACAAGAGAGTTGCTGCTAAAAAGCAGCGGTTCTACTTGAACCTCTCCAGGATGTCAGAGCTTCTCAGCTTATAGAAGCCCGAGCAGGGGATGGGTGGGCCAGCAACAACTTGTTTTCCTGAAGTGGCAGAGACCTGAAAAAGCTCATTCTGGAAGGTACTGAAAAGGTCAAGAATGAAACAGTTGATATTACTTTATGCGAGAGGGATTTAGTGCAAAGAACTTCATAAACATGTTTTGTATCTACCACAGAAATATTGTAGATCTTTAAAAAGTCATATGTTTCTGAGTCATATGCCGTGTATTCAGTGTTTGCACTCAGCCTGTTGAAATATTTTTTATATTTTCACTCCATGTTATTAATGTGAGAACAAACAGAACATGATTTGATTTAATTTAGAAAAAGTCCTAGCTGGTCCTCAAGAAAGCCTTAAAATTACTTTTATATACACTTAATTCATATTCCAGAAACTTTTTAAATAAGGATCTGTTTAAAATGAAGTTTATTTTCCCAGAATCAAACCTCTTCAGACACTGAAGTAACTCTCCAGCACAATAATTTATCTTTATTTCCTAACTCTGCATCTCATTCACCACCCTACTGCTCTGGGAAGTAAAACCAGCAGTGAGACATTAGTTTTGATAGGACCTTCTGTTTTTCAGCATTAATTATTAATGTTGTCGAGCTGCAGAGAAGAACGAGGCATTAGCTCAGCTGCCTGGTAGAAAAAGGCCAGCAGCTTTAATTTTACCTCCTAACAAAGAAGTTTGTTACAATTTACTAACCAGGTTCTTTGGACATCATGAAACCATTTCAGACCATGTGATCCTTTATTTAATACTTTATGAAACTTGAAGTGTGGACTAAATACAGACCTAAACCTGCAACACATTTTTAATATTTTTTGTTAAGCATAATCAGAAAACTCCTTGCATCCTCTCTTCTCTTCTGATGCTCAGACTTTCATTTAATGTTACCATCCAAGCATCTCTGTAGTCTGCTCTACACCTCTGTCTGTTTACTGATTAAAATAAGGTGCAAATACAAAGTTTATTGATTGTTTTAGCATCTGCTGCATTTCAAGCACCTCTATTTTATCTACATTTTGGTCAGCAATTATTTGTTTCATGAAGTTACTTCTACATTTAATGCTTTAATATCTAAAAAAGGTTATATTTTTGCACTGCTGAATGTATCTATCTTTAAGTATTTGTAAATACATTTAGGGCCTTTTTCTCCCAGCTCAGTCTGCTCTGCTGTTCAAAAGTTAGATCCTCTCAGAGAAGTTTTTTTTAGTGAAATACCCCGCAGAGACGTAAGAAATGAAATTCAGCACTATTCACTGATTTCCTCCATCAGTGAAAGCTCATCAGAGCTCCTGCTGTCTGTCAGGCTGACTTATTGAATTTCATAAAAGACGGAAATACACACCCATGTCTTTAACTTGCCCCCAGGGAGGGTAATTATACATTGTTATATAGTTTTTGTTTATAAATAGGCATCAGTTATCAGATATGGAATGCTTTTTTCACCAATACAGATGATGCACAGTAATTATTACATAACGTCACGCAGCAGTCACTATTACATCAGCTGGTTTACAATGCTTTCTCTGCTCAAAATGTCAGAGGAGTTAGAAGGAATAAAACTGATCTTTTACTGAGAGTTAACAGGGCATGAAACGAAAGTGTCAAAGAAAGTGAGACTAAAGGAGAAAACAGCATAACGAGAACTAGGTTTAATAGAGAACGGTGCCCTGAGATGACCGGATTGAGGTGTTGAATAAATGAAGAGAGTTTCTCTTCATGTTGAATTCTTACAAAGGCCGATTCAGACCCGAGGCTGCAGCCGAATAGCTTCAGCATCATCTGTTGGAGTCTTCAGGTGGATGAATATGGTTTTTAAATTTTTAGTGAGAATCTGACAGATCAAACTGCAGATCTCCAGAGTTTATCCGTAATTTCACCACCAATCTTTTTGCTTTTGTGCTCTCCAATGTTTTAGACTGTTAAAATAACAGACTGAACAGAGCTGTAGTTATTCATTTGTCACTTGTACCTTCCTCTGTTCCCCTGCAGCAAAATGCTACTGAACCATCCTTATCGGTTGAATATGTGAAATTTCCACCAACAGAAAAGAGATCTCATGTTTTTGTGTTTTAATTTTTATGTCTGTGAGCTCATCTCGTCTCAGCTCTCACAGATCACATAATCGTGGTTTTTACAAATTTTCTGATGGTCCAAAAATGTAGTGTGTAATAATCCGCATTTTAAACATAAATTGAAACCGAAGCTCAGAGAGGCAGAGTCTTGCTGCTGCGGCGTCCCAAAGGTGTGTTTTCATTGGTCGATTGCAGACAGAAGTCGTAGGAAATCAGTCAGTGCTTGAAGACTGTTTGAGGCTGAGCCGGTTGCACTGTACGTTCACAGCATGGTGCACAGATATGCAAATCACCCTGACGTTGACCTTTTTTTTGTCACAATTCTGCTCGGGACGAGGGATTTGGCCAAGACGGCCAGAAATCGCACATTGTGATCCGGGCATAAGACACACTCTGTTTTCTCCTAGATGCTAAAACAAAGGCCTTCCCTGTCATGAGCCGAGATGGGTGACTCCACGAATGCTCATTTTAAATGTGACATAGTGAATTTGGTCTTTAAATCACTCTGATATTGACTGTTTGTATGCTTGTACGTAAGAATTCAACATGTAACATGTCCAAACAACAGGTGGACAATGTGTAAAAAGCCACGTCTGCATCTTTGTACACATTAAAATTCACACAGGCAACTTTTCACTGCTGATTAAGTCAGCTACCTGCTGACCTGGAAAACTCTTGAACGTTGGAGATGAACTTAAGAGGAAGCTCTGGGGATGCAGGTAAACATTCACAAAAAGTCTGATTTCACTGATCTGCTGCAGGTGGCAGCTCAAAGAGGAATTCTGGGTGTAATCCACATTAAAATGGTCAGTGAGCAGAAAGTCTGATCCAGCTGGGACACAGTGGACTTTACACATGTGAAGGAGAAATCAGCTCAAACAAGAAAAAAATAGTTGTGAACTAAGAATTTGGAAAGGAGAGGATTTTTGGATTAGCTTTAATAAATTTTTCTTTTTATACTGCTTCTGTGTAGAAAATATATTCTGACCACTGATTCAAATCAAGATTTTTCAAATGCCTATAATGTTAATCATTTAGGTGCAAAATCTAAGTGGTAAGTGGCCTGTATTATAGCACCTTCTTAGGACTCTACAACCCCACAAGGTGCTTCACAACACAATCAGTCATTCACCCGTTCAGAAGCTAGTGGGGATGAGCTATGATGTAGCCACAGCTGCCCTGGGAGGGACGCTGATTAAAAAGTTCAAGTTAAAAGTTAAAGTCCCATTAGTTGTCACACACACAGGTGTGTGTGCGAAATTTGTTCTCCGCATTTGACCCATCCCCTGGGGGAGCGGTGAGCAGCAAACACAGCCGCGCTCGGGAACCATTTGGTGGTTTAACCCCCCAATCCAACCCCTTAATGCTGAGTGTCAAGCACGGAGGCATTGGGTCCCATTTTTTCAAAGTCTTTGGTATGACCCGACCAGGAATCGAACCCCTGATCTCCCAGTCTCAGGGCGGACACTCTATCACTAGGCCACTGAGAAAGGTGATGCCACCGGTCTCTCCTAGGCGGGTCAAAAATCTCTTGCCTATAGGACCCAACAGCAGCAATCTCTGGTCGGAGTCGTGATCGAACCTCCAACCTTCCAATTGCTGGACTACCTGCTCTACCTCCTGAGCTACTGCTGTTCCATCTATTTATCATTAGTCATAACAGATTTAGTCTCTATTTTCTTCTTTGTAGAAAAACAATCTGGATATTTGCTCTGATTTCAAAGTGCAGTGGAGTCTGAGTTTAGCAAATCCAGTAACACAGATAAAAAAATCTATTTCCTACAAGTCAGAAATACGAGGTAATAATCTATCTGCCCAGTGCTTGATGAGTGACCATGACCAGATTTCATGCTGCACACACCATGTGTAAAAGCAGTTTTCCGCTCAGAAACAGAAATGGTAATAGAGTTTGTGACCTGCTGAGGAGGTGGAGGTCCGCAGCTTTTCGTCTGCAGATGCTTTATTTCAACTCCTTTAAATCAAACAGAAAAAAGGGTAAGTGACAGTCCTCAGATCCATACTTAATTTGCTTTAATCTGCCTCAAAAAGTCCGGGGTTCCTGACCCAGAGAGTAGGTTTTTTCAAAATGTCAGAATTAGCTAAATCTGTCAAAATCAACTGAATATATTTTATTTAACGCCAAAATAGGCATTTTGTTTTCAGGATTTAACCAAAACGGCATTAAATCTGACTCAAATCATCTCACACATTACTCCAAGAGAAACCAGATTTTTAATTCCCACATGTTTTTGTTGTTTTGTTTGTGCAAGAAACTCCATCTCTGATGTTTGATGTTCCTGTAATGCTGCCAGTTCTGATTTATTAGAGAGAAAACCCTAACTAATTTAACTTGTTGATTGATTAGCTGTTTGGTCTATTAATCTTGCTTTTTTTCTAATTGATTGAAAACAGATGACTGATGGAGATTTGTCTGCAGAGTGGTTGAAGATTTCTTTGTTCTGTTTTCAAATACGAAAAACATAAAATCATCTAAATATCAATTCTTTCTTTTGGTCTACGTGGTTTCTGTCGATTCTGCTCGATTCTTCTCCTGTTTGTTGTGTAAATGAATCCACTCACTTCAGCTTTCTCCAAAACAAATATATTTACTTTGACTTCCCTCCACCGCGCCTGTGTGCTAAAACTGATGTCTGGCTTCATAAAACCCTTGAATCTACAGGGCATCCGGCCAGCCAGCTTATGCGGTTGCTCCTGTTAAACAGTTTTCAATAAAAAGGTCTGCAGCCACAAAACTCTGTTTGCACACTACAAGTGTTTTTATGAAAGGCAGGTGCAACGAAATTAGAGCTAAAATCAGTTTTTAAACTTCACTATAGCATCAATACAAGGTAAAAGCTCAAACATATGATCAAATTGGTTGAGTTAATCTCATTCCCAAAGCTCCAAAACTTGTTGTTTTGAAGCTGAAAGCATCAGCGAGTAAGAGAAATGGTTTCATCTCCTCACTGTAGTGTGATGAAGCAGCTGGGATGTGACAAAAGACCACAGCAGACATCAGGAGGGTGGTAATTATTGTTAAAACCCAGTTTGTTTTCAGGTGTCCTGCTGAATAATGACCTATAATTGGACACACATACATGCATAAAACTATAGCACTAATTTAGAGTCTTTAATTAACCCAACATGCATTTTTTTGGACAGTGGGAAGAAAACTGGGAGTCAAACGCGGTACTTTCTTCTTGCAAGGTAATTGCTCCTCCGTGCAGCCCTGAATTTCTAGCCACACCACAGAGTTCCTGCTTTCATACAAAACCACCTCATAAAAATGAAACCTCAGGTTTAACGATTCTTTTAAAACAACTTAAGAACAAAAACTTCTGCAGGACTCAAGCATCCCCTCTATTCTTATGGCTAACAAAAAACATTTCATAATTTAAAATTAAAGTAGAGCCTTAACATTTTTTTTTTACCTTCAACTTGTTTTTTAATCGTAAAGTCCTACTCAGAGGCAATTATTTAGACATTTAATACTTCTAAAGAGAAAATAGGCCATGTGAATAGGAAAAGAAGTGACGAATGCACTATCTAAAAGTTTCAGTATTGAATTACAGCCAGAACAGACCTCAGGAAGGAGGAAAATGTGACAATAACAGAATTTAAATGTGCTCTGGCTCCTGGACGCTGACAGAATGAGAATGTTGATAGTCTTCTATTTGTCTGCTGATAAGCAGCATCATTTTTTTGAAGCAGAGATGTCTGAAAAAGCAGGAACTAAGTGCACAGATCCACTTTGACACTGGTGTTTGAGAATGGAACATTCTCATTCCACTCACAGAAGAGACTCGATGTCAGAACCAGGACAGATTCTGCAGTCTTCATCGAAAAAGCCTGGTCGTCTTAAAGATGTGGAACACTGAAAAATCATTTTTAACGGTTATTCCTGATTATAATTGGTCACACTAAGTTTTTCGTGCAGGTGAACATGACAAAAGTCCCCTACACCTATCTCCTGCATTAGCTTCTGATGTAAAATAGATGGAGAAAGGACTTGAGATGCCTGACAGCAACTGCAAAGGTTCCCAGGCTTCGGCAACTTTTGCAGGAGGTTTATAAGGAACTACAGCCAGACTGCCGCCCCGCTGACAAACCTGACCTCTGTTAACCGTCCTTTTGTCTGGTCCCCTAGAGGCCGAGGCTGCCGTCCAGACCTTAAAGGGGAAGTTCACTAACACCCCTGTGCTCCACAGACCTGATCCGCAAGGCCAGTTCACCCTCGAGGTGTACGCCTCCCCCGACACCGGCATGCTCTCTCAGGTATCTCCCACGGATAACAAACTTCATCCCTGTGCTTTTTTTTCCTCGCCGTTTAACTCCCGCAGAGACCAGATATGACGTGGGCGACAGAGAGCTGCAGGCTGTAAAGCTCACTATAGAGGAGTGGAGACACTGGCTGGAGGGGGCTGAAACACCTTTCGACACCTGGACTGACCATAAGAATCTGGTTTACCTGAGAGAAGCTAAGAGGCTTAATCCACGACAGTACAGGTGGTCTCTTTTCTTCTCACATTTCAATTTCCAGATTTCTTACCGCCCTGGGTCTAAGAACACCAAACCAGACGCCCTCTCCAGGTTGTACGCTCCAGATCAGGAGGTTGAGCCCTCCACAATTCTCCCCCCAGCATGTGTGGTGGGAGGAGTCACGTGGGAGATTCGGGATCAGGTGCTGGAGGCTCTTGAGACTGACCCTGGTCCAGGTAAGGGTCCGCCTGGCCGGCTTTATGTGCCACAAGGCTTGAGGGGCAAAGTCATCCATTGGGCACACACGGGCAGGTTTTCCCTGCACCCAGGTGAAACGAACTTTCTGGTGGCCTGCCATGTACAAGGACGTGAAGGACTACATCACAGCGTGCCACGTGTGTGCCCAACAGAAGGGGGACCACCGGTCTCCAGCAGGTTTATTAAACCCCCTTCCGACTCCCTCACGCCCCTGGTCACACATAGCCCTGGATTTCATCTGCGGATTACCTGATTCCCATGGTTTTTCCACCATCCTCACCATAGTGGACAGGTTTTTAAAGGCTTGCCACATCATACCCCTAAAAGCTCTCCCTTCTTCCTCTGTTACCGCTAAGCTCCTCGTTAAGCATGTGTTCAAGTTACACAGGATTCCAGAGGAGATTCTCTCGGACCGAGGACCCCTATTCATCTCCAGAGTATGGAAGGACTTCGCCGAGGCTCTGGGAGCTAAGGTCTCCCTCACTTCCGGATATCACCCGCAGACGAATGAACAATGCGAGCACATGAACCAGGAGCTCGGGGCCATGCTGCGCTGCGTCTGCTCCTCACACCCATCCTCCTGGAGCTCTCAACTCGCCTGGGTGGAGTACGCCCACAAGTGCCATGTTTCAACCGCTACAGGTCAGTCCCCATTTGAAGCCTCTCTTGGTTACCAGCCATCCCTGTTTCTCCAGCAGTCCTCTGCCCCATCTTCGATCCCTCAGTTTCCCCGGGGGGCCAGACGGGTGTGGATGTCCACCCGAGCCGTGCTGGATAGAACGGCTGAAAGAAACAAGCAGTTGGTGGACCACCGGCGACGTCCAGCCCCGGATTACACTCCTGGTCAGGAAGTATGGCTCTCGTCTAAGGACATCCCGTTGAGAGCCACCTCCCGTAAGTTCACTCCCAGATTCATAGGTCTGTTTAAGATCCTGGAAGTCCCCACTCCCTCTACGGTTCGACTGGAGCTCTCATGCTCACTCAAAGTTCACCCGGTCTTCCACGTGTCTCTGGTCAAGCCTGTTGGTTCTAGTCCCCTCTGTCCGCCACCTGCAAGATACTACAAGGGGGGCCTGGTTTACACCTTCCGCAGGATACTGGTTTCTCGACCCCGCGGCACCCAGTACCTGGTCGATTGGGAGGAACGTTCCTGGGTCCCCCGCTCCTTCATTGAGGATCCGTCCCTGATCCGGGACTACGAGACTGTGTCTGCTGGGACGCCAGTTGGCGTCCGTTGATGGAGGGGGGTACTGTCATGTGCTGGGTTGAGTACTCCTCTCATTGTTTCCATCTTTGAGCTGCTGTGTTTCAGGAGAGGGAGGCTCCAGCTGCAGCTCATTGACAATCAGCGGGTCCAGCTTTAAGAGGAGGAGGAGAACACAATTCGACGCCGGATGCTTAACTACAGCTTGGTAGTTCCTGCCCTTTGTGACTTGGTTAAACTCTAGTGATTTTTGGAATTTTTTGAGTCTCTGTGGATTTACCCGACTTACCTGTTCCTAGGTTTTTTGGATCATTGTGGACCTTACCTTGACTCCTCAGGATACTCCTTGGACTTCTGAAGCTCCTCTGGTTCTCCTGTGGCTCACCTGTTACCTTTCCACAGTCCCGCTGGATTACTCCCCTCCGCTGGATTACTCACCTGTGCTTCATAAATCTTCTGGATGCAGCACTCACCGTTCTCTTCTCCTCCCTGCCGGCCTGCTCTCCTGCTCTCCTCGCGCTCCGTCTCCTGGACACCCCCCTTCCTGGATTCACCCCGGCAGCCCACCTACCCTCCCTACTCCTCAGCTCCCAGCTCCCCCGTAAGTCTTAACTCTGCACCTAACTAGTTTTGACTTACCTCCCTGTACTCACCTGCTCCTCTGCTCTCCCCTCCTCAGACGCTGCGGTTCCGTTACAATCCACTGGGCCTTATCCAGTGCATCCTCAGTTCCTGATTATTTGAATAAAGAAACTTTATTTTTTACCTGTTTAGTGCGCGAGAGGTGATTCTGCATGTCTTGGGTTAAACTCGTCCCCAAAACCTTGTCAGAGATGTCCAAATATCAGGAAATAATCCACTAAAATCTGCCGTCTGAATCTCAGCTGTGGTGTGGGTCACTTCTAGTTCCTAGAAATGGTGCACCAGTATACTTTTCCCCCTAAGAACAACTTTCAAGGCATTTATTCCTACAAGAGACCCCTGCACATGGAGTGTTCCATTTCTTTAACAGATAATTTGAGAAGTTGACTTAGATGAGGAACAAGTGAAAGTATAAACCTATTATTTGTCTTTTTAGAGTCTGATGGGTAAATCCATACCCTAAAAGCCAAATGTTGGTTTTGCCTAGCATCCTTTGTTTTACTGAGCTGAACACTCTTTCATCATCAGAAATCACTGTCATGAGCTTTTAACATGCTTCTCAACAAACCTCTTTAATACATTGTGTAAAATGATAAACTTTTACAATATTTTCTTCAGACTGTTTGATAATTGCTTACAGACCTTTGTGCAGCTCAGACAGGGTGTGTAAGGTGCTGATCCAGCATCGTGACCATCTACATTTACAGCTCCAACACCCCTGCTGCTCCCTCATCTCCTCTCTCTGACACAATTCCAACAGAAGGCAAAGGGAAACGGCTCACCACTAGTTGCAGGTGCTCCTTCTTCAACTCTCAGTCCACATAGAGCTCCTACTGACTGACGAGCTGCAGAAACAGATGAGAAGCTTTCACTATTGATGATGTTTTTAAAGAAAGAACAGCAGTAGCTAATAAAAGCATTTTTAAAAATCTGCAACTCCCTCTGGCACACGCTGAGAAATAAAAAAACATCCAGGCACACCGAGTCCATGAGTACATGAGCTAGCTCAGTGACAGAAGAGGAGGTTAAAGGCCTGAAGCAAAAGATGAAAAATCAAGAGGAGAGGCATGTATGAGGATGAGAGGAGATATGGGTCGGTGATCGGGTCTCATTTGTTTAGATGTCGGCTAATTAGGTGCACAAACTTAACAAATACAAACACATGGGCTTTGGGAATAATGTGGAAGTCAGTAGGACATTACGTGAGACGTGTATTATAACAGATGGTTTAAGAGCAGAGGCACGGATGAAGGTAGGTAGGGTGAGCCTGATGCATTTTATCTGCAGATAAAACAGACAGCTGTTCTCACACCGTGTTCACCTAAAAAACAGAATAAGTTCCTAAAGGGAGCAAAGCCAAACATTTTTTTCTAAAGGGTTTCATGGCAAAAGCAAAATGTTTGAATAATTTCAAAGAAAATTCCAGGGACATGTGTTTCACATTTAGTACGTTAAACTTATTTATTCCAGCTCCCTTTGTAACAGTTTTGAGGAATTCAGTTTTACGGAGCAAAATGAACTAAATTACCTTACAAATAACTGAACAATTTGATATAAAACTGGTTAAACTATTTCCCGTCTTGGTTTTGCAGCAGCAGCCTACAGAAAAATATAATGTCAGGCTTTCCGCTGCCAGTTTTTTGCAATAAATGACTAATTCAAAAAATGTCAGTTACATTGATTTCAACTGAGCAAGACTCTGTTTTCCGCTGATACAATCTTCAAATTAATCCATTGATTACAAATAACCTCAGCAGCTGCAGATTTGTTGCTGTTGAACCACTTTTCATGCAACTTTTCTCCAGGGCTGTGATATTTTAGTTACTGAATAAAAACTGAAGCCAGATTTCAGTCAGAGTTGATAATTTGGTTCATTTATCTGTGAAGTGGTTTACTGTGATTTAAGATGTGAAAGCATATTATAGCATGTAAGAAAAAAACCAAAAGAACCAAATCCAATAAAAAAAAGTTTGTCAACATAGATATTAGTATTTAAAAACATTTCTAACAGTAACAAATTATCTAGAACAAAAACAAACAAAGAAGCCCATTTGACTTGTTCCGTAAATGTGCTGCATATGAATAAAGAAATAATTCAAATAGATGCATCCTTCTGTATCATGAAAATCTGACGAGTTTACCTGATTGAACTGCAAACACTTGATATTCTGGAAGTTTGAAAAGACAGTTAATAAACCCATGAAATCGATGAAGTGTCAGTCTGAAAACACTCGATAGCTCTTGGCTGATTTTATTTGAGAAGGTTCAGGTCGGAGGGTGAAAAGATGAATTCCTGCTTATGAACTGCATCGCGTTGATGGTACAGCGCTTTATGATGAATCTGGTTCACGCCGTGACCTCGAATAGACCTATAGGTTAAAAATGTTGATTTGTGTGGATGTGAAGGGATGAGAGTGAGTTCACAGAGAGTGCACGGCTGCAACATTATCAGCAGCAGGAGGATGGAGATACATTTAGATTAAACACACTGACAACATCTCACCCATTAATCACAGCTGACACCAGTTTGCTGGAATTCAATTCAATTCAAGTTTATTTATATAGCGCCAAATCACGACAAAAGTCGTCTCAAGGCACTTCACATAATAAGAAGAATACTAAAACCGCACTTCACACGTTATCAAGTGAAAGGAGAGAAAATACCCATGTTTAAAAGTAAGCACACACTCATACACACAGGAGGTGATGAATGTGAAGATACTTCCTGACAGGAAGTTCCTGTCATTTTGACGAATCAAACTGCAGATTTTTTCTTTGTGTTGAGGAGCACAGATGGTGTCGCTTTTAGATTTTTACTGATTCTGTGTTGTGCTGGAGTTATGACGAGCATGCACCCACAGTTCACTGAGTTGAAAATGTTAAAATAATCAAAACTGCTGTGCTATTTAAAAATGTATTTATCAGTTTTGTTTCACTTGTTGTCATGCCTGTTTATGTTTATGTTTACTGTGCTTTGTTTTTGAAACTGAAATACAGATAAGTAAAAGTTTTTTTTTCTGTCATGAGTTGTTTCTACTATCTGAACTTCTGAGTAATTCTACCAGACCTTCATGGCACGTGCCTGTCTCCATTTCACGGGGCCAAATTGAAAGGAGCATTTTGACACTGATCAGCGACAATGTTAATTTCTGAAATGGTCACATTTTGATGACATCTTAGCAAAGTCCTGAAAGGGCCGATGGTGTATGACGACACAATGGCTGAGAAGACCAAGCCAGCATATTTAGTCGGTCATCATCCCCTTTCCCACACATTTCCCAGAACTTCTATAGTGGAAACTCAACAAATTACTCTGCGGAAATGATGAAAATCATAAAAGCTGTGATGCGACAGTTTTGGTCTTCATTAAACATTTTTTTAATAATCATTATTGGACAAGATTCTTTACCTCTTATCAAATATGCAGAATAAAAATGGGCAAGGGTTGCATTAAAAAAGTGAGGAAAATATACCATAAAAGCTTAAAAGAGCCATCAGAAAGTCTGATTTGTGCACTGCAGCTGCACCTCTATCATTAGGGGTGGGTCTCACAATCATGCGCCATGATAAATCAGGGAAAACTGAAATAAAGTTATTAAAATCCTCCAAACAAGGAGCATTATGCTCAATAATCTGTCACCTAATAAATTATTTGGACACAAGAAATGTAAATGTTTTGTTGCAACATGACACATTTTAAAATCATGGGAGGTTGTGTCACATTCCGACTTCACATTCTGATGTGTTTGTGCTAAAAACGTTGAAATACCCAATAGTTCTTCTCTGTTCCTCCATGCTAGACCCTGTTTGATTTCCATCTTTCTCTCCTTCAGTCAAGAATTTTTATTTCGCATTAGAAGGATTTTTTTTAGCCTTTATAAAGCATTAGTGAGAAATTAACTGAAAGTGAACATCACGCCACAATAGATTTGGTCAAAAAGGGCAATTGCTTAGAGCCTCTTTTTCATCACAGACTTCATCCTCTCATCTCTTTCATTCGATCCTCCTCCTCAGTATACAATTGTGTATTTATGGCAACTTTGTCCCCTTTCAGTCCAGAATTCTCTCGCTCTAGTGTTCTTGACCTTCATGTTGTCTAATCTGCGTTTTGTTTTGCCGTTTGGTTCCAGTTGAGCGCTTGAACTCCTCCATTGTTGCAGCCCAGCAAGATGGCTTAGAAATGAAAAGTTTTCTATTTCCAGCCAAACTGTTCAGCTGAAGTGTTTAGAACTTAAAGAGGAAATATTCAAGCCAGTTTATTAGCAACAAATCTCTACAGTGTATTTGCATCCTTTAATCCCCCAAACCACACTTTTTCCTTCAAGTGCATCCTATTAAAACATGTCTTTGAACTTGTGTGGCATTAAAAATGAACACAAAAATTCTGGTGGCTCTTTCCTGCTGTTTCTGAGATTTTACACAACAGGATTAGTGGATTAGAGAGCAAACATTAACGTTCAACTCTTGTGTTTCTATTGTCTGAAGCTGATTTCTTCAGATGAATCTCCATGGCAACAGATTCTGGTAATTTAATCTGCTCCAGAGCAGGATAAGTTTTAGGGTATCAGATGTAAACATCACCTCCTGGACAAAGAATTGATTGGAAAATGAGAAAAAGTGAGAGGAAAAGTACACGAAGTGTCTTTTTATCCTTGAATTTCCCAAGAGAAGACATTTTTCCACGCAGAAGCATCTCTGAGTTATATGTAATTTAAATAAAACATGATTTCTTTTCTTGCATAAATCACATGTAGCATATCTCGTGTTGCAGTAGTTTCCAACGTGTTTAGCTTTAGACTCAGAATCAAAGTACAAGAGAATGATGATCCCAACTTTATGGTTTGAGGGTCCAAACATCACTAACAAGAGCCTCATCATCCCTTTCATTTTTATTTTATGTTTTGGTATTGTTTATACTTTGTCTTAAAATTGGATGAATAAGTGGATCAAACTGTATCGAACTATGCCTCGTACGTCCAAAAACAAATATTTTCAATAAATTCACCCATTGGTATGATTCTTTGGGTTTTTGCATGAAATTAAAATTCAAACAACCCCTGACTGAACAGAACTGATTCCTTTTCTTGTCTTTTTTAATCAAAACTGTGATTTTAAGAACTCATCCATCCATCCATTCATCCTTCTTTATCTGCTTATCGAGGGTCGGGTCACAGGGGCTGCAGCCTAAACAGAGAGGCCTAGACTTCCCTCTCCCCAGCCAGCTCCTCTGGGGTAATCCCAAGGTGATCCCAGGTCAGCCGAGAGACAAAGTTCCTCCACTGTGTTCTGGGTCTTCCTGTAGGTCTTCTCCCAGTTGGGCTTGCTTGGAAAACCTCACCAGGGAGGCGTCCTGACTAGATGCTCAAGCCACCTCAACTGGCTCCTCTCAATGTGGAGGAGCAGCAGGTCCATGCTGAGCCTCTCCCAGATGACAAAGCTTCTCACCCTACAGGGACAGCCCAGCCACCCTGTGGAGAAAACTCATTTCGGCCGGTTGTGTCTGCAAATCTTATTCTTTCGGTCACTGCCCAAAGCTCGCGACCATAGGTGAGGGTTGGAACGTAGACTGACAGTTAAATCGAGAGCTTCATCTCAACTGATATTGTATGTATCTGAATGTTTCTTTATATTATTTTAACAGAAAACAAAAGTGTACAGAAACACCTTGCTACACTAAAATGTACAAAATATTCTTTTTAATCGGAATTTTTTTTTATAAATACAGCAAAATGGTAAATGGTAAATGGCCTGTATTTGATATAGTGCCTTCTAGAGTCCTAGAACCCCCCAAGGCGCTTTACAACACAATCAGTCATTCACCCATTCACACACACATTCACACACT